GGTAACAGCAAGTTCCATTTATAGGTTTTGACAGGATTTTGAGTGCAATAAAATGGCTTTCCAAAAGTGTTTGGGACATCCCAGTCACTTTATGGGATTTGCCAGTTTTATTCCATGCTTCAAAAGAGTCATAGTAGAGAATTTGGGGGAGCTACCATGTGATGTCAGTCAATTTCAATAACCAGAAGAAGCTGCTTCTCATTCAAATTCATAAACTGGTTCTGGTTTTGATTTTACTGAACTCCTAACATCTGTTGCAGCTTTGGTAGAGTGCCATCAAGACTACATTATGTAGTAAATCCTTAAGTATTTAATCTGCGTCCATTTTTCAAATTAAAAAAAGTTAGTATGGTTTCAATTAAAATCAAACATATAATCAACACTTTATTTCTGATAATTAAAAAATTTTTAGACAAAAAAATGCTTTTTTTTCTCCCTAAAATCATTACTTCAGTAACTTAGTTCTCAGTGAAGAAGAGTTCAGGAAACAATCTTGCAGACACCCTCTGCAGCAGGTTTCAGTATAGTGGGATTTGTGCTACTTCATATAGAGCCTATAGTCTCTGCGATTACAAGCTCAGAATGAGACTAGAAAATAGAGGATTCGTACAGTCATAAGTCTTTTCCATGTAGCTATTTAAATTGGTTGTAAAGAAGCAATTGGGAGGAATAACTGATGTATGGGTCAACTGAAGTGAAAGCTGGTGCAGAGATTAAGCCCCTCGTTACATATGTTGTTACAGAACCAGGAGACTAAAAGGCCTTTAACTGTCTGGCAGCAAGAGAGGTGTGCAAGCTATTAAGTTATGTCAAGTGTGCAAATTGATTTATGCAAGATGAACGGCTGCTACAAAACATGACCTATGACCAAAATAAAATGCTCCACTCTGTTGTAAATTTATGTCCGACCACACGGATGTTCTTTGCCAGTATATTGAATAAAGCAATTATCTGATGTTCCATTTACAAAGCTTGGTTTGATGATTCCCCCTCTCCTTCATTTTGTACAATCATACAATGCTGGCTTCAGACTGAAAGAGCATATGACAGCGCTAACCACCTCCTCATTTAAAAAAAGGACACAACACTTTTCCAAAACTGTTATAAAGGTCACTCAGACATGTTGCTCTACGTACAAGTGGGCTGTGTGTTTTAGTAAAGAACTTTCTCACTTGTAAGTTGAAGCGCTGTTTTCTGGTGAATTAAAACCTGAGATGCTATTGATGATATTTTAGTCACATTTTGACCACCACCATTAATTGCTGCAGGAAAAAAGCCTGCAAGAGAGTTAAACAACAAGCTGGCAGGACATCAGAGTCGGCGATCGTGGCTCAAGAGTTGGGAGTTCGCCTTGTAATCGGAAGGTTGCCGGTTCGAGCCCGGCTGGACAGTCTGGTCGTGTGTCTTGGCAGACACTTCACCGTTGCTACTGGTGGTCAGAGGCCGGTGGGCAGCCGCTCTGTCAGTGGCCCAGGGTGGTGGCTACATGTAGTGCATCACTGTGTGTGTGTGTGTGAATGGGGATGAGGTTGTGTAAAGCGCTTGGGGTCTTAGGACTAGAAAAGCGCTATATAAATACAGGCCATTTACCATTTACCATTCAGCATTTAAACCGTGCCGTCAGTGAAAATCAACATCAGCAGAAAAGTCACCTTAAACAAGGATTACGCAACCGCTTTAAGGTCTTTATGCTGCAATAAGCATCAAATCAAAAGCTTTCAGTTCCAATCACACCCTTCCAGCTTTTGTGAAGAAATGACATTATATCCATGAAAAGTCATCAGATTAACAAGATTCCTACAAGCATGGTGCTGCACCCATATCCGTCAAACAGTCTCATTTCCAACTACTTTCACTGAACCTTAGACGAAACATTATAGAGATGCACAAAGCTTGAAAAGCCTTTCTAAGGACCTGTGTGTTCTCCCACCTACGAAACGAAACTGTCTACAAAAGGCAGATGGTTTTTGTAGACAGCACATGGAGACAAAGAATAGGTAGAGCTATTTTGGACCTGTGCAGCTGAGGGATAGCGCATATATACTGGACAAAGACATTAAAGATAGAGGTGCCAAGCAGTAAGAAAAGAGGAAGGCCACAAAGAAGATTCATTGATGCAGTGAAGGAGGCCAGAGATAGAGACTTTACTAATGCCGCACTGAGGAAATTCACTTGTTAAAGCAGCACAAAGGCCAAATGTCTTACAGCCAATTTAGAATCACCAATCAACCTGGGAGGAAGCCAGAGTACCAGGAGCGAGGGAAAGGATAACATGTTTAAATGTTACATAGAATGGCTCCAGCCAATCACAATGCTGGAACTCTTTTAGTTTTTGCCAAAAACTAAAAGTAAAGCATATTTTTCTGGGGGTTTTTTTTAAACATTGATTTCATTAGTAACTCACCAACATTCCAACATTCATCGCCCTTTTCTATTTTACGCCTTCACTACAGTTTTCGATCACCACCTGCTCTTTAAAAAAAGGGTGAAAGTGAAGATTTTACGATTTAGCTTTGGAAATCTTTTCACAGAGCCCCTGCTGCTTGAATTTTTTGCCATTTCTTGCAATCAGGCAGTTTTTCCTCAATTTAAACTGCCGGTAAAGAGAAAACATCAGACTCATATTTCACAGTACCAATTCATCTCAAAGGAAAATAAACATCTACATCTACTGCACCCCATCACATCCATAAACCTGTCATCTCATTTCACTGGTAACAAAATACTTTTGAGAGATACCCTGCAGGCAGGTACCATTAAACGCTTACTGCATGAAAACAGTGAGCCTGGCTTCCTTCAGAGGCTCTGTGGAAAGGAGGACATCTATTGGTGCCATGTTAATACCGCAACAAAGCATAAATCAGTTTTAACATTTTTTGACACCTAATAAAAGCTAAAGTACTTAAAGGATTGCTGTCCTGTCCTGCTGGCACAGTAAAGTGCAATCATAAAACAGGCATAAAAATCAGCCATAAAAATCCACCATAGAAACTAAAGTAGCTCACTTATGAGCTTTAAACTAAGCAAGCGTGGAGGTGGCTTTATGTTTTGTCCATTAACACCAGTGATGCTTATCGATACAAAAAAACCCTGAGAAATAAATTGTATTCTAATTAGACAAAATTCACCCATTAAAGCTTTAAAATTATGGTGTAAAGTGTAAATGAACCATTGGATTTAATGAACGCCTATGGCAGCAATAACCTCCAAATTGTGTTTCAATTATCTGCGGATTAGACCTGCACGATGCTCAGGAGGACTGTTGCGTTTTACACAACTGCTTAAGCTCACCCATAATGGAGTCAATACATCAGCATCTGCAGTTGAATGCGGTCTGTGTGTGTGTTTAGGTTTACTTTGTTTGGAGTAATCGTCCACCTGAATCACCAAGGCCCAGAAACAGCAAAGCAGCCCTAAATGATGATGCTCTCTCTGCTGTACTGCATCAACGTGACGGTGTTTTCATGCTGGGATGCTGGCGTCTCTTTATGCCATACGCAGTAATGTGTTTTTTCCACCTTGTTTGCCTTTTTAGTTAAAATACACTATATCTGTCCCGTTTGTAGCAACCGAAAATAAAATAAATTCATAATTATAATAAAGGTCAATCAAATGGACCAATATGGCAAGGCCATGATGATCCACTTGGTAAAATAAATCCGCTTGGCATCTTTCTTGGCCTTAAGACAACAATTCTGATGGCTAAAGATCCAAACGGGACACAAAAAATGAAAAAATAAAATAAAATAAAATACACTATTGCAATTTTTAATTAGAGGTTGACCTGGAGATTTTCAAGACAAGTTTATGTAAGAACCTGCCCCCAAATGTCAAAACAAGCATCTAATTAGGAGAAAACTCTTGTAATCTTTTAAACTGACCTGAGTAATAGTTCTCCAGCTTTTCTTTCTTTGGACATTGGCTGCTTTTTCACACATTTTCAATGCAGACCTTGTACCTGACCATTTTCACAGGAATGTTTGTTTCTTCTTGTTGAGTCATTCAATACTGCACACAAGCATATAAGCACCCAAGTGAAGGGATGTAACAGTTTTGTGTCTATACATAACAAACAAATTTTGACATTTGATCCATCCACTGTTCACTGAAGCCTCTACAGAAATGGTCTGAGTGGAAGGGTGGCTGCCAAGAAGCCATTTTCAAAGAAAGGAAACAGGGAGAAAAGGCTGAGATGTGCCAAATTATGCAAACCTGACCTGAAAATCAGTGGCGACAGATCTGATGGCGTGATGAATCCAAATTTTAAAATCACTTAATTAATTAATTAATTAATTAATTAGGTTAATGATTTAATGAGTCACCAAACATCCAAAGAACAGCTTTCTATGTCCTTTAAGAAGCCTGGAGAACTATTCCTGTAGACTACTTAAAGAAATTACAAGAAAGCTTGGCTAAGAGAGTTCAGGCTGGAGTTTTTTTTAGCCTGTCTTCATGTCTGGCAGCTTTTGCAATCAGAATCAGGATCTAAATGAACTGTTGTGCCAAACATATTTGCTTTTCCAAGACGAGCTCTGGAGTCTTTAGGCCCCCTTTTGTTTGTGTTTGTGTTTTCTTTCTTTCTTTATTCATTTCTACTATTACTCACATGAGTGCATGTCTAATACAGCATTGCCAGAGTTGACAAGCACAAGAAAAAGAGCAAGAAAAAAAGGGAGGGGAAATAGATGAAATGAAAAGGACAAGAGGACAGAGCACAAGTGAAAAAGCATGATGGGCCTCCAAGTGCTGCACCTGTAAGAATAAACATGCAAAAAAGTAGCACCTGGATGGATGGATACACAAACTAACAATTTTGGTAATAACGGCCCCATCAGACAGAGAAAGACCCAGGAGACCCAGGCATCTGCTGCTCCCACAGAGTACTGAAGAGCCGAGACCACATCTCGATGACAACTGTGTGCACATAGCAGCAGAGGAAGGAAGTGGGCCCCAGATGGAGCCCTTAGAGCCAAAGAGCAAGGCCCCCAGAGACCCAGAGACGGCAGGCAGCCCATGCCACCAAAGACAAAAACAGGGCCTCAGATGCCTGAGAACCGCCCAACTCTCAGCAGAGCCCCCAACTGCACTGAAGAGGCCACCCTGGACCACAACCTCCAAAGGAGTGGGCCAACAAGTACGGCAAAACATCAAGCCATGCACCCTGGAACCAAAAGTACTTACATCCCGGGGGAGGGGCAAGGCCACCCTCCTCAACCATGTCCCACAGGGGCCAAGGGTCACCCAGGCTGAGCCATACATAAACACACCTACACATATACAGACACACACAGACCACTCACACACACACACAAGGACACACAACCATCACTATCAACCCCCCTGTGAACAGATGTGACCCCGAACCAATCGGGCTGTGTTAAAGAATAAAAATGGTCGTATCAAATATTGACTTTCAAGCTCATTAGAATCATGCAATCTCTGTTTTTGACTTATCTACTGTATCTCCATGTATGCTCGCACATGTTTCAATAAATCACTTGTAGAGAAATGTAAGCATAAGAAAAAACACCATCTTGGCTGTCAATCTCATTCTGCACTGGGAAGATGGTTGATACAGGATGATGGCACGGAGATTCATTTCCCTCTGAAGTCGGCTGCTGCTGCTGATTTTCAGTAACATCAGGAAGTTAGTTCCTTTAGAATACGAGCCAAGAGCCCAAAAAACTGAAGAAAGCCACAACATCTGCTCAAGATGGCTGATGGTTGATGAGAGCTTTTGTAACGGGAGATAGCCTTTGTCTTCACTGCCTCTCTCAGACACTCATCCAAGAGGCTTCTTCTGTAGTTCTAACACCTGCAGAAACCTCTTGGATGAGCAGTGACATCTTCACAAGCTTAAAGAAGTCCAGTCGTCTTCTTTTTAATCTTCTAAGAGGTTCCAATCAAAGCGAGCACTCTGACCATCACTGACCATGACACTGTCATGAGTAGAGCCTGCTTGTAGCGCCTCATTACTTCACCTTATGATTGCAAATGACTTCAAATGGTTAACTTCCTTTATTCATTATCACTGTAAATGAATTCACATAAACGATTATAGCAGATTTTTATAACATAAGAAGAATGTTGATATTTTCTTATGGAGACTATACTCAGCGTGCCTTCTGTACAATACATGTATGAGCGTGTACAGGAAAATAGGAAGATTATAACAAAGCATGGCAGATGTTACCTGCCCAAGTCGGGCTGCCTGCTGCAGAATCTCCACTTTCCTTTGACCACTGCGACGGGCATGGTAGGAGTTCCTCTGGCTCTGGATCACTATCACTACGTCCTCCAGCTCTGTGAAAAGACATGCATGGAATATGTATCCTGATGACTGGTTAAGAAAACAAAGAGGAAGCGCTAATCCTTTCATCCTTTCATGTTCGAATTTAAACTCATCTACAATATTTCAAAGTACGCTCTTAGACACATTATTATAAGATGCGCTATAGAACTTGTTTATTTCCCAAATAGTTGTACAAAATGTTAGATCGCCCTCTCACTCACCGACAGAGTGTTTCCTGCGCTCTGCTGCCTGTGGACAGTCAGAGAGATTGACAAAAACACATTGCTGAGGCACGTGGCAAAGCATTAATTTACAACAAGAAACTAAAAAGCAGCACTTACATGATCAGGCCCTGTGTGTTTGTCTCCAGCAAAGACGTCTTGGTATGGAAAGAAAAGACAACTGAACAATTATTTGTGAGGAGACAAAAAATATCTTTTTTTGATTTTTCAGTTTAAATCAAACCAGTACCTACACTCAATGGCCACTTCATTAGGTGCACCTGTTTAACTGTTTATCCAGTCAGCAAGTCATGTCAGAGGTCAGAGGAGAATGGCCAGACTGCTTTGAGCTGATAGAAAGGTAACGGTAACTTACGTAACCTGTTACTATCGAGGTATGCACAAGAGCTTTTCTGAACACACAACCTTGAAGCAGATGGGCGGCAGCAGCAGAGACCGCACCGAGTAACACTGTTGTCAGCTAAGAACAAGAAACTGAGGCTCCAATTAAACACGGGCTCAGACAAGAGAAGATTAGAAAACTGTTGCCTAGTTTGACGGGTCTTGATTTTTACTATGACATTTGGATGGTAGTTGTATACAACTAAACTAAAACGACTTTTTCTGGTAATAAAAGAGAACAATTATAAAGTGTAGAAATTATCAGCATGTATCAGCATGTTTTTTTAAGACACCTTCAGCTTCATTTGCAGCCCCCCACGCTTCGGCAGACCTGTCAGCAACCACAGCGGATGATAACGATACCTGCGCATTAATACCATTTCCTCTTTTGATTTTAAAAATAAAACCATGCGCTATATCTCTCACTTTCTTTAGAAAGACAGAAAAACAGAACAAATGTCATTATGACTTTACGTTAAAATTTGACAAGGTTAAAAATGACCTTGGTTCATAATTTTTAATGCAGAGTTAAACAACGTTATATTTCACTACTTTCAAAGAACAACTCAAAGCCACTTCCGGCTGCTGACACAGTGTGTCCAGCTTTGTGTGGCGGGTAAGCTAACTGCACCCCTGCCTCGGATCTGCAGACGTTTCACTTCACTTACCGAGACAAATGAGAAGCACAGCGACCAGTCTGCATCCGTAAAACATATCACGGTGTGACATGACTCCTAGTGCTACTGGTTCAATCACCGTGTTTCCATGGCGAACTGAAGAAATCGGTTTGCTACATCTCTGTACCGGAGGCGTGAGCTTTCATGTAGTGGCAGTTAGTGCGGAGCTGTAGCGACCTCTAGCGGACAACAAATGAGTAGTTTGGTTTTCGATGTCTGGTATTGGATCGGATTGTTACAGAAACGGGATATAATATAAATAATTGTCTCTGGTCACAGTAAATAGGAATTCAACCTAAATTTTTGTACTATTCATGCCAATAAAGGTATGCCCTCCTAAAATCTAAGATTAACTTAAAAAAAATCAGCAGGTTTTAAAATTAGGTAAATACACATTCAGATTAACAACAACAGATGGTATATTACACTTGTAAATTATGATATTATTTTATGCATGTTATACCCTAATTAAGATTGTGAATTATTATGTAGTTTTAGTTTGCATTATTCTCCTGATTAGAAGAAGCTGATAACTATTGCATTAGTTAACTGATTTGCTTACATTAAATTGCTGACTTGTTGTGAATGAATGATATTGTTTTATGATGCATTATATTGCTGAGTTATAAGAATACTGTTCGCAGAAGGTTATTGTCTAATTTGTCTGAGTAGAAGAGAACAGAATGTGCTGGAGTTTCTGCCCATTTCAGCAGGAGCAGATAAACAGGGAGCCAAGGTCGTAGCTTAGGCGCTGTGTGAGAGAGAGCATGTGAATGTTTAGGCTTTTATGATAAGGTGAGGCACCAGAGGTTATAAAGTTTGAGCAATGCTCCACCATTTTGAGATTTTGAGGCTGTCTGCATCAGTGTCCATCTCCCACGTGTGTGATCATTAATCATCGTTTGACTCACCGGCCGGACCAGTGTTGTTATTGTGGTTTTTTCTCTTGTCTCCATCCCAATATTTTGAACCTTAACACACTGTATTATTATTTTTATTATTACCATTATCATTATTATTACCATCCTAGGACATCACATTTTGGGGTATTTAGACCAAAATACTAAATTTTGCTCTACAAGGGCCTGATATCCACTTACGAGGACATTATACTGCTACTGTTCTATCAAAATTTTAAATGAATATCCTCATTTGTGGCTCTTATTTTTTTTAAAAACAAAAATCAGGTAAAAAAAAAAATCTGGTAATTCTTTGTTTTTACATTCATCGGGCCCCAGTATGCCCAAACATCAAATAGAAATTAAAAATGCATGCTGTGGAAGAGTTCAGGTCCTAGGAGGTTAATATTATTATTATTCACGTGGAAAATATTCAAGAAATTTGGCAGTCTTCTCAGGAGTGGACAACCCAGCCAGTTTCCCCCAAGGTGAATGAAAGGAAAGGGAACTGCAAGGAAACCACGATATACACCTCTGACTTCACAGGCCTCAGTTAGCATGTTAAATAATAAAGGTCATGACAGTACAGTTAAGAAAAGACTGAACAGGTATGGAAGTGCTACCAGGAAAAAGTCTCTTATGTCTCTCTAAAAAAAAGAACATGGCAGCACAGCTTAGATTTGCAAAGATGCATCTGAACAATTCACAGGATCTCTGGAATAATGTTACACAAGCCAAAGTGGAGATGTGTGGCCAAAATAGACAGCACGTTGTTTGGAAAAACAAACACAGCATATAGCACAAATCGCATACCAGCTGTGAGCACAGTGGTGGAGGGGTGATGATTTTGGCTTGTTTTGCAGCTGCGGTCGACCATGCACTCCTTTGTATACCAAAGAATCCTTGAGCTAAATGTGAGCCTGTCTGCCTGAGAGTGCAAGGTTGGCTAAAACTGCTTCTTATGGCAGGACAATGATCCCAAACACAGCAGCAAATCTAAAACCGAATGACTGAAAAAGTGTATCGAATGAGTTTAGTTTTAATCTTAATTAATACCATTGCCATTATGGCTTCTCGTGTTTGTAAATAAGTAGATCGATCCTGTTTGGGTTTTTTTTAGCATCAGCAAAGTTTTTTTTTATTACTCTGAGTCAGAGGAACATAAAATAGGATAAGGTGCACAACAAATGCCTCTGCACTGAGTTTGTTGACATTATTTTGCAACCACCAACTGTCAAAAAAACATGCCAGCATTGATGCTAAAAAGTGATACGCTTCAAGGCATTTATGATGGGCAATTATGAACAGTTTCTGCACTGGGACTGTAAATCCTGCCACATTTAATAACGCCAGTGTAGTTTTGCTTGAATTGAGTTTCTATGTCTCATCAACAGTAGACGAGCGAGACATATGATAATAATAATAATAATTTTATTAATAGCGCTTCAAAGCACCAAGACACTGTACAACAGATAAAACATATGAGCTGCATGATTAAATTATATAAAAGATTACACCACAATCTTTCTATTACTTGCTGTATGCCACAAAATTATGCACTCAAAATCAATAATTAAAAAAAAAAAATGCTCATAGAGGAAGTCATACCTTCTGTTTTCAGAGATCAGAGTTGTACCTGCTGCACATTGATATACCGTACTGATATTTCTCAGCTAATGTGAGAACCACCACATGTTATAAAATATAGTAAAAATTCACGTTTTATATTCACTCACTGACCATTTTGTTAAATACAGCACCACCACTGGCCTGAACTGTTAATGCAAGGTAGGATGGATCCATGATTTGATTTCTCGAGGCAGAAATTGAGACTAATCACTTGTTTTGGGTGATCCTGTGTGACTTTGCCTTTGTTTCCTATTCTTAGCTGACAGGAGTGACACCGGTGTGGTCTTCTGGTGTAGCTCACATCTTTTTCAAGGTTCCTCATGTTGTGCATTCACAGATGCTTATCTGCATACCTTGGTTGTAATGAGTGGTCATTTGAGTTAATGTTGCCTTCTTATAAGCTCACGTGATTGGCTGATTAGATATCTGCCATTATAAGAATGAAGTATGAATAAATAAGACTGAAGCTTCTCACACTTGGAATGGGCAATGCCTCTACCTGTCCTACACAGGGAAGACAAAGTTTAGCTGCACCTAGATAATAAATAGATACAATCTAAAACAAAAGGAAGGTTCAGTGAGAAATACAACTGGAATCTAGGTCAAACCACTTTTATTTTCCAGAGTATGATAGGCTTGTTTAAAGTCTCGTCTGAGTACGTGTGGAGAAAACAGGCTGAACGTACTTTTTCTGTGGAAGCACACGCAGACTGGTGGAGACATCCAGAACAAATGAGTCAACAGGCTCCTGACCACAGAGGCTAAAAGTGAACTGCTGAGCCACAAACATTAAAGTAGGCTGGTTCTGTTGTGAAACAGCACTTCAGAGTGCTCACATTGTTTTGCAGATGGAGTGAACTGTAAAAAAAGAAAAAGAAAAAGAAAGAAATCCAAAATTGGAGAAAGCTTTAAAGAATCCAGGAACTGCAGGCCTAAGTATTGTTTATTCACAGGGATAGGCTGTATAATGTGTCACATTGTTACTCACAGACAGCAATAACGCATGAATGTGTTTGAAGTTAGGTAAAGTAATACTAAGCCCTTTTGTTCACAAAGTACACCACAGCACACATTAGGCCTGTTGATGAGAAAACATGGCAACGTGATCAGAAATTCCTGTAAGAGGAACAAAAATGCTGCACAGTAATTCTATACGTGAAAAGTGAGCGCGAGAGCCCTCGGTGCGCCTGCTCGCTGCTGAAGTCAAAGTAAACTTTATTGTCATCTCCGCTACATACAGTCCAGTATATAGAGAGACGAGACGACGAGGCTCCAGTTACAGCAGTGCAAGTAAAAAAAACAATATATATAAGAAGAGTAGGCAAATAAATATACACTTTAGGACTCGGGGTAAAGGGATCAATAACAATTTAAAATTTATAATTTACAGTTTGATGATTTAAAGTCTCACACACAACCCGTCGAAAGGGGAGGAGAGTCCTGCTGCTTCCAAGTAGACCACATTTCATTCATAATGTTGTAAATCCAAGCCCATTATGTATTCATGATTTGAATCCTGGATTGTGTGAAATCCTCGAAATAAACCCTAGACAAAGTGAACTAAGTTGTAGGTTTATTAGGTTATGTTGTGGTGATCCCTGAGTTGGGGGGTGGGTGTTCATACTGGAGTGTAAAATTAAAACCAATGGAAGATGGACAAGAAAAGTTCAAAGCCATCATGTCTTCAGTTTAGAAAAAAGAGAAAAGAAGAGGAGGAGAAACGAGCAAAAGATACAGGCGAGCAGATGTGTCATTGGATAATGGCAGGTCATCCTGAAACAATCAGAATCAGAATACTTTATTAATCCCTAAGGAAATAATGTAGGTTACAGTTGCTCCAAGAAGAAATGGTAAAAATACTAACAGACTAAACTCCAAACAATACATTATGTTACAGATTTTAATATTAATTAGTCGTTGTCAATTGTTGATTTGTCCTGTTGTATGATAAATTATGATGGCTGTCTGGTGGCTGTGTGTGTGTTTTATGTTAATGTACAATCCTTCGCCCAGGGCGCCAAACAGGCTAGGACCGCCACTGGGTGTTAGTGTGCAGCAAAGGCTTGTATGTGACTAGCTTCAAGTGTTTATAGCTTCTTTCTCAGTTCAATAGTCCACCTGAGGTTAATTTCAAACAGAACAAATGCTGTTTTACATGCCTTTGTGCATTTATAGAGGTCAACATAAGTAACAGCTCTGTGACATCCCTCATTCTCACCTGTATTAGTTATGTACAGTATTGTGCAAAGGTTTTGGGCCACTGTCTCTTTATATTTTGCAAAGAAAATGGGAAAATAGCGCAGTGGTTTATCGAAACATGTGCCAGCATACATGGAAATAAGATACTATATGAAAAAAAAACGGGCCTTGAAACACAACATTTTGTATAATCACCTTTATTCTTCAGCACAGGCTGAACTGTCTTAGCCAAGCTTTCTTGTAATTTCTTTAATTAGCCTTCAGGAATAGTTCTGCAGGTTTCTTAAAGTACATTCAAAACTCTACTACGAATGTTGGATGCCTTTTGTTGTGTTATCTGTCCAGATGATCCCACACTGCTTCAATAATGTTGAGGTCCAGGCTCTGGGGAGGCCAATC